AAAAAAAAAAAAAAAAAAAACACAGAAAGAACGTGAGTGACCCTGTAACTCCAAATGCGGTTATGGCTGACAATTTATTTCACCTTCAGTGCTGGGTAAACGTTCCCACCCCACTACAAACGACTTTTGGCTGAGGGATTAAAACACTTTCAAAGAACCCATAAAGAAGTAGAGGGTCACATTAGAATTCCTCACCGAATCGGAGAAAAAAAAGAAAATAACAGACTAGCACTACTGCAACCCCCTTAAAAGCACTTTAGCCCCTTTAAAACCAATCTATACCCCCCTCCCTCCTTGAAAGCCAACTCGCAAAAAACGAAATGAGACCGGATTCGGGGTCCTCTGGGAGAGCAGAAAACCAAAAACGAAGGGAAAAAAAAAGTATTTTCTTTTTTTTTTCATTTGCACGCCCGGGTATCCCGGGCGTCAGACCCCAGGCGAGGTCCCATTAGCAGTCGGACAGGAGTGTGGCCGATCCAGTGTGACACTAAGTGGCAGCGGCCAGACAGGTTCATTACGGATTTCTGGGCTGAGAAAACAGGAGAAAGGCCAAAAAAAAAAAAAAAAACAGAGACCTCCCACCGGAAATCACCGCAGAGTGCTTCCCAGCCATCAGATCACAAATGGATCTGATGGTGGTGGTCCCCACAACAGTGAACAAAGTAACCGCCGCATTTTCTGGAATAAACTTGACTTCTGTCAGCACTGATCCTGACACCCTCCATATACTATACTCCGTGATTGAAGGAGGGTGCTCCACCCACCCAATGAGATAATTGCACAACAGCAAGGAAAATACTGGAAGTCTTCTATCCAGTGGGCCTAATAAGGCCAACCCCACCCTCCTTTGGGGTTGGCCATACCCCCCAACGGATTGAAAAGATTCTGGCGGGAAGCTTTCTTTGCACGGGCATGCCCAGTGTTAAGGAGAGGAGGAGGGGAACAAAGATCTCCTTACCTTACTTTTTCGGGTAATAAAATATTTTTTAAAATACTGATCTTGGGATCATGAGTATCGCATGGCAGGATTTGGGTCACTCTTTTTTTTTTTTTTTTTTTTTTTTTTTTTTTTTTTTTTTTTTTAACTCCCTAAGAAACTCATTTCTATCCTATCCCGTTGCTAGTGGGACCTCGCCCCAGGTGCCCAGCCAGGCATGAAAATCTTCCTCTTTTTTTAACTTCTTCTTTTTCCCCTTTTTTTTTAATTTAATCCAATACCTGTGCAATGAGCCTCACATTATCAACCCCAAATCTATAAAGCAGAACAATCATTTGACAGTTCACATGAAAGCCGAAAGATGAAACTCAAATCAGTGTGCAGAAGACCCCAAGTGCACGTGTAAATGTGTCTTTGGGATAAGGCTGAGGTCCCCACTTACCCAGCTTTCCTAGCAGATGATGATCATAGATTATGTCTGGCACTTTATTCACTGAATCTGACCGCTATTGTGACCGGAGACGTTCGGCAAAGTACAGTGTGAGAGGGATCTCCTTCTGGAGGATCACAGGTACAACGTCAGAGGGTTTGGGGTTTAGGAAATTTGCGAGGAGGGGGGGTTAAGGGTGGATAATTGGGCTTGGGTACTTTGGGGGGGATTGGCCGTCCATGTCCGCAATTTGAACTTTAGGGGTTTAGGGTTTCTTTCTTTCTTTCTTTCTTTCTTTCTTCTTCTAAGTTTTTTTATAAGAAATAGTTTACAAGATATCTGTTTTCTGTTTTGTATTTGTTTTGTTTTTTTATTCAAAAGTATACCCGGATGGACGGGCGGCTGTTAACGAGGAAAAAAATATGGCTGGCCGAGGTAGCTGGTGATCCAAAGTAAAAAAAATAAAAAAAAATAAAAAATCTAGGCTACCAGAGTGTCCCAGGAGCTTTTTTTTTTTTTTTTTTTTTTTTTTTTTTAAACAAAAGCCGGGAACCGGGCCCGGCGTCCCTTATATTACAAAGCCAGGAATCGGGCCTGGCGTCCCTGACAAAGATTCCGCAGTCCGGTTTGAAGGCGAGACATCACCGGCCAGGCCCAGAAACAGGACTGCCTCACTCTCCCAATGTTAAGCAGAAGAGGAACGAACAAAAGAAAGAAAAACTGGAAGCAAAAAAAGGAACATTATTCTCTTACAGTACAGTACAGTCCAGGTCCACAAGTCACTTATAGTGCCCGACCAGGCCCAAATAAAAATAAATTTGGTAAAGAACTGTGATGTGTCCCCGAGACAAAAGTTGTCCAGTTTTTTATTTTTTTATTTTTTTTTATCTACACTATGTCTTCTCCAAATTCTTTTTCTTCGATGGGCCAGTCACTGTGCCTCCCCTCCGGTCCCCTCCCCCTATGAACATCAGCAGTCTCTGCTCAATGCCACTCAGGGGGACCAACGGCATATCTCTGGTGGCGGGCGACCCCTGGCCGGTATCGACCACCTTCTGTAGCCGGTATCGCACCTGCTGGTGGGTGCAGCTCCCGCATGTTCCCTCGTTGGAGGCTTGAGCACGGATGTGGCTGGTACGGGGTTCCCCGTAATACTATAATGACAATAAAAAAAAAGGCCTGAAAGGCCGTCCTGTCCAGATTTGACAGGTAATTGAATTGGTTGGGCTTAAAGAATTAGCCTTTCACTACCTTCCTACCACTACTCCTAAGACTATATAGAGGGGACCCCTGCAAGCATAGGGCCTCGCAAACGAGCTAATTCATGTTGCCCCCCGCCCCAACAGCGGTAGTCAGAGATGGGGTGGGGCCGCCGGTGGGGGTCCGGCTAATGCAAAGGCCGACCATTTTGCCAGTAGCTGCGCCTCCCTTTCTCATCTACTGGTGGGGGTCCGGTATAAATGTTGCTGCCTGGTACCGCGTGGTACAAAGTGGGGCTGCCTGGTACTACAGGTGCAAGTGTGGCTGCCCCTGTCAGTCGGGCAAGTGTGGTTGCCTCAACTTGCCTGGTACCAATGGTACCATAGGCATTCCTGCTACCAGTTGTACCAGTGGGGCTTCCTGGTACCAGTGGTACCAGTGGGGCTTCCTGGTACCAGTGGTACCAGTGCCATGTAGCGATAGGACAACTGTGTCCTGGTAGCAGAGATGTCAGTCTGACATAGTACCAGAGTGGGCCTGTAGCAGTTAGGGCCTCGCTGGTAGCAAGGGTGCGAGTGGGACCTCGTAAGCATGGCACAAGTATGGCCAGGTACTGATGGTGCTACAGTGACCTGGTACCACTGGTACAAGCAAGGCTTGATGCCCACAGTGCCAGTGTGACCTGGTGCCAATGGTGGTAATAAGACCTGGTAGCACTGGTACCAGTGAACAATGGTACAAGTGTGGCACCGCTGGCACCAGTGATGCTAATGTGACCTGGTACCAGTATAACCTGGGGTACCAGTGGTACCAGTATGGATTGGTACCACTGAGGGTAGCAGTGCAGCTGGCTATAGACTTGCAGAAATAAAATAAAACAAAATAAAAAAATAAAAAAAATAAAAAAAGATGGATCATGGATCAAAGTTCATCAAACCATTTTTTATTTTTATTTTTTTTTAACAGTTGTAGAAAGAAAAGTAAATTTGCCAAAAAATAAATAAATAAATAAATAAATTTTAAAATTTTGGGAAATTTGCATCTGTACCCCCACTTAAAGATGGGAGAATACCCGCTATACCCAGTCCCAGCGGCAACGTGGGTCTATACCCAGAAAACGGCTAGTGGAAATTGTTTGCATGCCCAAGACTGAGGTGGACCCAGGTTGGTACCCAAGCAAAATTGCGGTTATAACCAACTACGGGAATGCACAAATTATGGACATACCCAAGCAAAAATATGGGCATACCCAGGACCTGAGGAGGAGACGCCAAATTGTTCATATACCCTGCTGCCCGGATGGCTGAAATTATGCTCATACCCAGCAGCAGTCGGGCCACAAAGGTCTACTTGAAGGGCATGAGCGTAATTTCGTTCTCTGAATCCAGGGCCTGCGGGTTGGGTACACCTACAACTTCGCACAGAGGAAAAGCTGTAGTATGCAAAATTGAGCGCCCTCCGGGTATAGATGCAAGTTCGTGCTGGGACTGTGTACGGCGGGTATTCCCATCTTTAAGTGGGGTACAGATGCAATTTTCCCTAAAAAAATTAAACTCAAATCAGAGACGACCCACTCCCCCTTCTCCTCCTCCTCTTCGTCTTCCTCTCCTCCTCCTCCTCCTCCTCCTCCTCCTTCTTCTTCTTCCTCCTCCTCCTGTTCCTGTTCCTCTTCCTTTTCCTCTTCTTCTTAAGCGATATGCCCCACCGTTTCTTCCCCCGAACATAACGCATATGCGTTGTATTCGAGTTTTTGAAAATTTCATCAAAAAAAAAACACGAATGGAACGCACGTGCGTTGTATTTGAAAACTAGATCTATTCGAATAGAACGCACCCTTTGCGTTGTATTCGAATACAATGCACATGCGTTTTTTTCGGGGAAGATGGCAGTGTGAAGTTCACACTTCGATAACTGTAGGTGAGATCATTAGGCTGGATGACACATATGCGTTGTATTCGAATACAACTCACATGCGTCATCCAGCCTATTCGAATACAACTCACAAAACTATAGCATAACTATAGGTGACCTTACGGCCGCGTAAGGTCATTAGGCTGGATGACGGATGTGAGTTGTATTCGAATACAACGCATAGGCTGGCTAACAGATTTTCGGGATAAGTTAGGCTGCATGACGAAGCAAATAAGAAAGAAAGGCCTCTCTAAAAATAAAAATAAAAATAAATAAATAAATAAATAAAGGCCAAATAAATAAATAAATAAATAAATAAATAAAAATAAAGAAAGAAAGAAAGTAAGTGGTAAACTAATGACCAAATAAATAAATACAGACAAATTGGTGTCGTCTCCTTCTTCTCGTCTTCCTTCATTCCTCCTGTTCCCTCCTCCCCTCTTTTCCTCCTCCTCCGCCCCCTCCCCCTCCCCCCCAACCTTTTTCTGGTGTCCTTTCCGTCCCTCCTTATCCTCCTCCCCTCCTCTCCCCCCCCCAAAACCTACATCTCGCAGATCTCTCACCCATCTCCTCTCCTTAACTCGGACATCAACCATCACTCCTCTTCCTCTTCTTCTTCTTCCTCCTTCTCCTCCTCCTCCTCCTCCTCCTCCTCCTCCCCCTCACCTTGAGACCGTCGATCCCGATCGGGGAGAGGATATGCACGAGCGAGGGAAAGCTCTTAGGGCCCCCGATCCCGACCGTCGAGCGTCGTCGATCTCGTCCACCATCAATCCATCCTTCGGACGGGATCGGGATCGTCGATCTCATTCGTCGAACGGGATCGAGATCGCCGATCTCATGGGTCGAGCGGTATCGAGATCGTACATCTCGTCCTGTGCGGGACCCATTTGATAATCCCCCCTGTGCTCATCCTCCTCCGCATGTTCCTCTTCCTCTTCCTCCTCCTCCTGCTCCTCCCCTCCTCCTCTTTCTTCGTCCTCCTTCTCTCCTTCTTCTCCTTGTTCTTCGCCTCTCCTTCTTCGTCGTTCCCATTGTCGTCTTCTCGTCTTCCTCTTCCTCCTCCTCTCCTTTCTCCTCCTTCTCCTCCTCGTGTTCCTCCTTCTCCTCCTCCTCTTATTCCTAATCCTCCTCCTCCTCCTCCTCCTCCTTCTACTCCTTCTTCTTCTCCTCTTCTTCCTAATCCTCCTCCTCCTCCTCCTTCCCTTCCTCCTCCTCCTTCTCCTCCTTCTCCTCCTTCTCCTCCTTCTCCTCCTCCTCCTCCTAATCCTCCTCCTCCTCCTCCCATCCCTCTTGTCTTCCTTATCACCTCTCAGAACTCTTCATTTACCTCCTCTACCGCCCTGCTCCAGATAGATAAGGGAGAACACGCGCCAAAAGCTATGGTCATCCTTCTCTTATAATTGTCATCATCAGCCACGGCGATATGATGCTGATGCTGATGATGATGCTGCTGCTGCTGCTGCTGCTGATGATGATCATGTGCGCACTGGTGAATCTATACCCTTCGCCGCCGCTTCCTCCCTAGCCCTCCTCCCTTCCCCTCCTCCCTCCTCCCCTCCCCCTCCTCTCTCCCCCTCCTCCCTCCTCCCTTCTCCCTTCCCCTCCTCCCTCTTCGACACCTTCCTTGCTACGGGGTGGCGTATCCTTGTCCTCCTTTGCTCTTCCTCCTAGACGACCTCGATGCTCTCTAGGTAATAATAGCGCGGTAATGATAAAGGGAAATTTGCGAAATACCCCTAAAAGTTGAGGTATATGCTAAACTACCCCTAAAAGATGTGAGTAGAGCGGAATACCCCCCTGCCCCCCCCCCCCCCCCCCCCCTCTTCTTAAATTTCAAAGTTCCGTGAAATGTCGTTCTGGGTTTAAATCTGTACGTTATACCCCTGTCAGGGGGTTTCCGAGTTCAGGGTTTACCCCTGTCAGGGGCAGAATGCAAATTTGCATACCCCCCTTGACAGGCGTATAACACGCACAGATTAAGCCCAAAGGGGCATTTCACTAACTTTTGAAATAGCAGAGGGCGAGGTATTTCGCTCTACCCACATCCTTTCGGGGTATTTTAGCATAAACGAAGAACCTTCAGGGGTATTTCTCAAATTTTCCCTCATAATAATCACAATACTCCTCCTCCTACTCCTATTACCTCTTCTTCCTCCCCCCTCATCTCCTGATTGACCTCTCTTCTATCTTCTCTTCCCTTGCAATTACTCCAGCCTCGAGCTGCAGGCCGCGTTGTCCTCCTCCTCCTCTTCCCTCCCCCCCCCCCCCCCCCCCCCCCCCCC